AACATTAATTCAGAATGTGGCTTGTTACACAAATATATGGTGCTGAAAAAGTTTACTCAGCATAATGTCACTTGCATATAATATGATAATGTCTGCTGTCTGGTCCGCGTGGAATTTTTTCTAGTTATATTTTCTTTAGATTTAAACATGAAGCAGTTACATGCTTTAAAAAATATATATAATATGATAATGATATTATGGCCATTTACTGTTCCATTTAATAGGTATGTTGGCATTTTAAAAATTGAATACTTACATTGTGAACAACCCGTTGAAATTATATAAAACTAGCTACTCAATATTGTTTTGTAGCCCCAACGCTTGCATGCAATGGGCCGGCATTCGTCATTTGCGACGTCAATTTTGAATCCGACATCGACATGTCCCGACATGTCACGCAGCCATAGTTAAGCTCGCCTCGTTTCCTGAATTCCTAATGAGCAGTTCTGCTGCTCCATTGAAATGGATCATGTAGTCACGGATTTTCATTGGTCACTTAGAAAAGCGTTAAATTTAATAAACGTACATAAAGTTTTTTTTATACAAGAAGACTCACAAGAAAAGATATTTTTCGCAGGAATATTATTTTTTTAACAAAAGCTGAAATTTAACATCACTGCAAAATTTGCTTGAAAATATCTAGATATTTCCAGTTTTGTTTATCTAGCTACAAGCACGCAACATTGCTTTTCAAAGGCATGCAACCGTTAGGTTTCTTTGTTCGTAAGCTAGAGCACAGTTCTAATAACAATTTCTCTTACAAAGATTTTCTTATCTGCAAAACTTTTCAATTCTCCAAAATAAGGAGCAGAAGTCAACTTTGTACTTTGAGAAAATCAGAAAAATTTCGTGAGAGCAAAAACATCCAAGGTTACCTTGGATGTCTTTTGGTAATCTATTGTGGACGTTATATAAAACGTATAAGGGTTATTAAGTATATTGTAGATTGGAGTTTTGTAAAACCTCAAAGCAAGCACGGAAAGATTGTGAGAGTTTTTTAAGTAACTCGATTTTCGTTTAGATGCGTATTACGTGAATTTCCATTTGCGGAGTGCCATCTGGTGGAATGCGTAGCTTATTGCGAGACCACAATAATGAAAAAAAAAATACGTTAAGGTGGAGGAATCCTACCTACTTACCCGAGATAAAAAAAAATCTTTTAATTTCAAATGAAATGAAATGATACTTTGGTTATTAAAATTGACTTACTAAAAAAACTCTTTTGAATCATCCAATGTTTTTCCCTATAGAGAACAACAGAAAACTGGTGTACAACCAGGCCCAGCGAATCACAACACCCCACCCTCAATTGACACCTAATGTTAGGTGTTATGGAGTCCTGTCACGAAGATAGCAGATGCAAGATGCAACAGAAAGTGTGTCGCTCCAGCCACCCTCACTTTGCATACCTAAGGCTGCGTTTCCACCAGAGATGTGCGATGGAAATGTGTCGTGCGAGGATGTCTAGCTGTGCTGTGAAAATGCGCATTAATGTGCGGTGGGAGGATGCGTTGCTTTATCTTCTACTTCCATTTCTTCATCGCAAATTGTTAAATATAATAAAAGTATCTTCTTTTTCCAATTATCCATATCTATTTTGTGCACTTCTACTTCCAACAAACTCCGTCTATGGACTGGCTGGTACAGTATGCGCAAACCTCACAACACATCCTTCTCAACACACATTCCTCGCAACACATCCCTCGCACACAACCCTCGTACACATCCCTCTCACACATCCCTCGCTTGTTTTGTATGCGCAAAAATCTAGCTCCGCTGAGCCGTTTCCACCAAAGCTGTGCTGACTGAGGCGAGGTAAATGAAGCGATTCTATTGGTTCTTTACAAACACATCCCTCGCTATGCATCCTCGCACATCTCTGGTGGAAACGCAGCCTTAGGCTGGAAATAGTGCTCGACCGACGGTCAGCGCTGATTGTACGTCCTGATCTTCAGCGCTGACCGAAGATTTTAAAAATTTGCTACACTGACAACGAACTCAGACGCGTGTATAGAGTTCACACGTTCATAGGTCGGGAGCGCTCGGTCGCTCCGTCAGCGAAGCGCTAAACGCATACATACATTCTCATAAATCATCGGTCGACCGACGAGCAATTCTACTTTTTGTTTTCTACTGTTTGTATTTGTTATTTTATAACCATTAACAAAAAAAATAGTAGGTAGTGACTAATGTTGTGCCAATAATTAACAATTTCTGTATGCACCTTAAAAAAATAAATACGGTTAAATTATCTCTCCCATGACCCCGCAAGTGTAGGGTAGGGTAGGGTAGATAGGATAGGGTAGGTAGGGTAGGGTGTTCTTTGAAATCGACCTGAAGTCAATTTTTACTCTGCTGTTCTTTTAAGGTCATCGTCCCGCATCTGAGGTCGTCCGCCAGGAAGACCTCAGATGCGTTTGCTTACGGTAGGTATCTCAGCCACGTTCCGTACCTTGTTTTGTTAACGATACCACTAAATTTTATTCCGCAGACCAACGTGCTTTGGGCCGACGAGCCCGACCGACCGTTACGAAGTCAGCGTATAGTCGACAGAGCCGACCGTCGGTCGAGCACTGTTTTCAGCCTAAATCCCCTACCCAGCAGAGCCCTAGACCATAACATACACAAAAGCACAAACCCACCGTCACCCAAAAGGAGTGTTTTTAATGTGTTATTTGACTGTGTTCTTCTATAGCTACGCTTAGCAAGGATACAAATTTGTGATTATAATATCTTCATATTATGATGTGTTGCGAAAATAATATTTAGCGACGTTACGAAAGGCAAATATGTCTTTAATTATGAGCGACAGTGATGTTTTTACATAACACATGGTTAAAGCACACAGGAAGATTAAAATGATTTATTACACGTTTTCTCGTGTGATAATAATTTTCACTCAAGACCAATCAAAAGGCGTTGCTTAAATGTGCTCGTAACTTTTTATTTTGTGATTTAAATTAATTATATTACCATTAATATATTATATTACCTATCTATTATGTACAAAGTAACACGATGATTTCTGTATTTCTGTTAAAATAAATATAATCGGATTGCGAAAGACATAGGAAAGACTTTATACCTTTTAGTTGCCCATAGATATAAAGTCTATGCCGCAACCACAGACTAAAATCTGTGGCCGCAACCGTTTTCTTGGTTTATTTTCTCCATATTCGACATGTTTGGGCACCACTAATTAAATTCCGTTAAGGCGCCCAAAATATTTTTTTTGTCAGTCAGCAGAAATCTCGAAACAAACATAAACAACAATATCTCTGGCTATATTCCTTTTTAAGTTCGATATAATAGGCTAGTTGACTCATATCAAATTGCACTATACAAATATTTATTTTCTTATAATTTTTGCTATGAGGAACCTAAATACATCGATTTCAACTCATAAAATTAGAAGATGGCTGTAGTAATTTAATTTGAAAAATAGTTTTTTAGTCTAGAGTACTTACATCGAAGTGATCTTTGCTAAAAGAAATGACTTTCAGACGATAAAGTAACAGGATTTGGCAAATTTTAAACCTGTGTTCTGTTTAGGTACGTGTATTTCTTTAGGCAATTTAAACCACAACATTTCTGGAGCCTTTAACTATGGTGTTTCTATATTCTCGTATAATACAATCATGATAATTACTATATTTATTATGAAATCTATTAGAAATCATTTTTGTATTGTAATTTCAGATAGGTTTATATCCTACGTGCTTGCGAGTGTTTGTTTACTATTTTATAACCGTCATACCATAGATAATCTATAGACTAAAATGGCCGACAGCGTTTTTGTATGTCCATGAAAAATCTATTTTAAAATAAAAGTTTTGTAGCTTTCTAGGTAAAAAAAAAATACAAAATATTTTTTTTTTCGGTCTAATTGAACAATTATCAACCATTTAAAACATATAATTACAAAAAGTGTCAACTAGCCTATTTGGGATGCTTTAAATAATTAAAATTCAAGAAACCCAATAGAAGTAAATCCTCTGTATTTTCTTGCATTCTCTTTTATAACAGTGGTAGAGCCTAGCGAATATTTTGCTCGAACTGGAATTCCTGTCGGGGGAAGACACTTCCTTAAAGGAGACCACGTAAAATAACACTACCTTTTGGTGGTGTTGCGTCTATTGACGACTACTGTTCCAAGTAGTTCTAAAGTAAGAATAACCCGGCCAATTTATTGTCTTTTTAATAATATCAAATAACATTTTTCTGCCAATCCGCTTCATGACCGAACTTGTTAATACGAAGAGAGATAGCAACACGAGATTCTTCATACTAATAACCACTCACTATTCCAGTGGCTTAATAGCTTAAGAGAGTTAAGTAAAAATAAATCACTTCTCTCACGGGACGTGAACGGGGCGAATCCCTCTACACTTTGGGGATAAATACCGAAATGGAAGGATTTTGTTTAAAATTGCACGAGCTGCTAGGAGCCTGTTTAACGGAATATTTAATTCAGTGTGCTTTGTGAAGCAGAAGTTACATGAGGGACCGTTTAGTTCATGGTAATATTAATCAAATATGCACGTGAATTTTGGCAACTATTTAGGTTATATTTCAGAAAAAAAAACCTTTTTTTTTTTTTCGAAAAATGTCTCCACGTTGACTCACTAGTTGTGTAAATGTATTTAAATTGATTTGTAGATTATAAGATATCATAACATCGTTTTAATCGCCTTAGTACGACAGGGCCATGGGTACATAGTGGTATATCGTTGTCCTACGGGTAGGATAAACCGGTGGGTCCACTGGCCCTTCATCGAAATTGTGCTTAACTTTCGACTGTATGGTTTTGCGACAATAAGTTTGATGTAAATGCGTTCATCACTTCAATAATAGTATTTAAAAAACATATTTTTTTTAATCAAAATTATAGCCCAAAATGTATATTAAAATTTCAGTATTCCATTTCAGTTTACAAGACTAATACAATTTTGTGTGTGTGTGTGTCAAAGAATAATATGTTTTTATTTGTATCTTCACAGATGTCGACAGTTCAGAACAAAAGGTGTCCATAATGTTGAACGGGGAGGAATCAGAATTATATTTTGTGAACTGCACTAGTACAAAAGTGAGTATTTAATTTTCACTTTTAAAATGTTAATATTTGCTAATTTCGATTTCCATAAAAATATATAGATTTATCTACACATTTAATCTTAATTTCACAATAAATTGCTGTGACGTTAGGTTTTTACAATTCTGAAAAAAGAAAGAACAGTGTGTGTGTGTCTCTTTGAACAATTTGTATGTGAGGACGTGCATTCAGATTTCCCTATCGGAATTCCTGAAATCCTTTTCAGGATACCGTACATATGCGCCCAGTCTTAGGCGTATGATTTTTGTTCTTAAACTTGTGTTGAATGCATGTCAAAATTTTTTGTGGTAATAAGAGCAATATTTGTCTACATAAAAAATATCTTTAAATGTAACTAGAAAATAATCCACGCGGACCAGGCAGCAGACGGGACTCGAACCCTTCGCAATCCGGGCGAATGCACTGACCAATTATGCTACCGCGGCCCTCACGGACCGCGTCCAAATTCCTCTAGCCATTCTTAAGCACAAGGCAGCGCCATTTCTTCGCATTGTACCCACAATGTCAAATGAATACTTTTACAAGTATCAAACATTTGAAAGAAGAAATAGCATTTATAGTTATAATTTTAATGCACTGGTCAGTGCATTCGCCCAGATTGCGAAGGGTGCAGGTTCGAGTCCCGTCTGCTGCCTGATCCGCGTGGATTATTTTCTAGTTAAACTCGTATTTTCTTTACATTTAAACATCAAGCAGTTACATGCTTAAAAATTAAAATTATAAAAATATCTTTATCAGGAAGAAATAGAGCGGTCCGAGCCTCCTGACGCGTTCGTGGTCATCTACTCAGTGGTGGACAAGGCGTCCTTTCAGAAAGCGGAGCAAGAGCTGGCAAGGCTGATGGACTGCGATATGCTGCGAGCGCGACCCGCGCTGCTAGTCGCTAACAAAATCGACTTGGCTAGGAGTCGAGCGGTGTCCACACAAGGTGACCAATATCATAATTTACTTCTTACCTCCCATGCAATAAACAGAATGCGCAAAAAACCTAACTTAGGCGATTCTTAGCAAAGATGCAGAAAGTGTGACGGAGGGGAATGATGCGCGTCATGCATTCCCCTCCGTCACACTTTTAAAGTTCGGTGTGCAGGTGGGTAAGTTTCGACTTCCATTCCAGTATTACCGTCGTGACTTCCCCTCCGTCACACTTTTAAAGTTCGGTGTGCAGGTGGGTAAGTTTCGACTTCCATTCCAGTATTACCGTTGTGACTTCATAATGTACTTACATAAATAAACATACATAGTTACATACGAACTGAACAATTCAAACTACGCCTTAAATAAAAGCTTGTAAAAATACTCGTGGCGAAAAACGGAACTAACATTAAGATTTTTATTTGGCAATCAAACCCAGCAATCTGTAAAACGTCAAAGTTTTTTATTGATACGGATTTGTTTGTTGTTGTGATTTCTTGCGGTTTTTGGTATTTAATCATGTCTAAAGGTCAAAAACCTTACAAATACGGTAGAAAAGCACTACAGCGCCCTCTAATCTAAGTCCCATTCTCTTTCCGTACAGACTCTAGTGTTATGGTGTGGAAAAAATCCCCATTGTAACACTTGTGTTAATGTTTGGCGTGGTGTTCGGGAATACCTATTGTGCGCGCGACCCACCCTGATAGTTACCAATATGATCAGAGTCGAACGGTTTCCGCACATGATAACAACATACATTTGTTTTTTTCACATAGCATATATAGATTTTACAATACCTATTGATAGAGATATATAGAGAGAGGCGATTTTTAACAAAGACGGCGCACGCGAGGCTTCGCTCCTACGTTGGTTAACAGTATAGCTGTATCCCCAGAAGATGACGAATGTGATAAGTTACTTTCTACCTCCCGTGCTTGAAAAAGGATGCGCAAAAATTATAACGCCAATTGGACCTACCTAGACTTCTTGATGATTCCTTACGAACAAAGTAATTTGGTGACTCATTTCTTTGTCGTACTATTCGTAAGTGGAATTCTTTGCCCGCGGACGTGTTCCCTCCTTCCTATAATCTGGGACCCTTTAAGAGAGGCGTGAAGAAGCATTTTTGCAGGCCGGCAAGGTAAGGATGGTTGGTGTAGCAATTTATAACTGCTGTACCAGCTATCTTCGCGTTTGGACTTTATTACCACTCAACATCAGGTGGGGTAGGGTTATTTGCCTACCTCTATATAAAAAAAAAATAACAAAGAGATGCGGAGCCTTAAGCAATAACTTAAATTAATTTTGGTTTAGTTTTGGATGGTCCAACATAAAAGTTAGATGTTCTTAATTAGAATACTATCAAGTGAACGAAAAGACGAGTCAAATATTCAGCAAGTAAATGTTTGTATTTAGCAAGCAAAAATATCGTTTTCTTTTTGAGAAAATATCTAAGACGTTTCTAATGTTATTCGCTCCATATTTGCTGTCATTGATTAAATGGTTCGAAAAGATTTAACACTTAGATCATCTTAATATTTAACAATGGAAACGGAGACGCCTGATTTTGATGCAAACGGCCATAAGTATTATTTGGTAGTAGTCTTTTTACTTTACCAGATAGACACACCATTTTATTTTTATATTATAGGGGGCATACGAGCTGACGGCTCACCTTTGGAACAAAATCTCCACTAAGCACTAAGCTCTTAAAATGGATATCTATTTTATTAAAAAATTGTATACATGTAGATATTGGGAAATAGAAGTGACTAGTTTTCAGCCCATCTTATTATACAAAACAACCTCGATCCTTTGTATTCAATATTTTCTCAATTTTCTTTTGTTCAAAAGATAAAAACCTATGCATGAAGATTATTCAATTTCCTCTGTGCGACGCTCAAATATATTTCGAAGGAAAAAAAGTCTTCCTTAATAATTCATTTATGTAGTTCACGAAGTTGCCCCGAGTTCGCGATCGCCGCGTGTTTTGACAAAAATGGCGGGTAGTATTCCCATGATGGCGTCACGTGAGGCCGCGGGATTTCCTTCATTACTGCCTGTATTATGCGGCCAGATTGATTTCCCATGGCGGGCAGCCGATGACATACCACTTAGGGCTCCCAAAATTAAATCTTAAATCTTCCGTATTTTTTTCATGCGATTATTATAGTAGAGCTCATGTTTCTTTGAAGATAGATTAATGTTTTTTTATCGAGGGTACATGTAGTTCGATGTAAACAGGGACGGTAGAAAATAAAGTCTAGTCATATATATATGATAAATAGAGGTGTGTATGCGTGGTGTCCATATGTACCTGCGCATATATGCGTGTGGGGAACCCACTACATATTTATTAACAACACATATAAATAAAACACATATTTTATAAATTTATATACTAAAATAAAGTACGTATAAATAAATACATAATATTACAGTATATGTAAATAATATAATAAAACAGTTATAGAAAACATATTAATAATATTTACATACACATAAACAATTACCTTACATAATACACTCCATAAAATTATATACATTAGATAAACATAAGTTACATACACAACATAACATAACATAAATTAAATATCAACGAAATAAATTATTCTGTTGACACGAATGTTTATTTCGTTGATACAATACGGCAACGGCAGTGGACACGCGCAACGCAAAAACCGGTCGTGGTAAGCCTTTTGTTAGAACGCAAGCGCGCACGGACAGCGTACGCGCATCTCCCCGCACCAGTCACGATCTATACGTCGGACGGGGAATCCATGCCCTAAGTATCGCTGCTCCGTAGCTTACGCAGTGTATTCACGCTACCGCTTATGTGTATTTTCTGTTTCTCTGTGCTTTTGTTGAACTGTTTGCTGTTTCTGTTGTTGCTGTTTTGAATTGTGTGTTTACAAACTCCTTCTGTTATTATTCTTGGACTTTGTGTTTGTGATAAATAGAAATCGTAAGTGAATAACAACTTTTTATTTACATACAAACCCATAACCACATTGGTGACCCCAACTGAACATTATATAACAAATGAACAGTGACGATAGTGATTCCTCAAATTCACAAGCTAGTGTTCGCGATACCCGACACCGTCAAGTAAAAATGGACGGCGTTTCCACTGCACCATCCGAGAATTTGCCGTCGACGTCGGAGACGTTCCGAGTAGGCGTTCGTATACCACCATTTTGGCCAGAAAAACCCAATATATGGTTTTCCCAAATTGAAGGGCAATTCGCAATGTCAAGAATTACGGACGACACCACGAAATTTTATTACGTGCTATCAAATTTGGACCGTCAATACGCCATTGAAGTAGAAGACGTCATTACTTCACCTCCGACTACGGGCAAATACGATAAGCTCAAAAGCGAACTCATAAAGAGGTTATCCGTATCCAGCGAGAGAAAAGTGAAGCAGCTTCTGGAGTCTGAAGAACTTGGTGACCGGAAACCATCCCAGTTTCTTCGGCACTTACAACATCTGGCTGGACCCAACATTCCAGAAAATTTTCTGAGGACAATTTGGACGAGCCGCTTACCCAACAACCTCCAGACTGTTATCGCATCACAGATGAGCCTCTCATTACTAGAACTAGCAGAGCTAGCAGATCGTGTGCACGATATTGCGCCTACGTCACCTCAGGTAGCAGCCACTAGTACCGGAACCATATCAGCCTTGGATGCGATGGCTCGTAGCATGGCGGAACTGACCAAAAGAGTCGAGGAACTGACCGCGCAAGTACATGGACGTTCTCGTTCCCGCCATAGAAGACCGTCATCCAGTCATCAACGACCACGAACACCTTCCACCAGATCGCAGTCGAACTACCGCAAATTCCCACAGTGCTGGTACCACTTCAAGTTCGGCAGCCAGGCAAAGAAATGCGTTCGGCCGTGCGACTACAAATCGGGAAACGCACCGGGCAGTCAGTAATGGCGACAGATGATTGCCCAGTATCCACCGGTCGCCTCTTTGTGACAGACCGCAGATCGAAGGTACAATTTTTGGTTGACACAGGAAGCGATTTGTGCGTCTTCCCCCGATCTGCGCTCCGAGATCGCCGAGAGAAGACCAACTATCAACTATGTGCGGCTAATGGATCCATCATTCATACGTATGGCTATGTACAATTTAATATTAATTTAGGCTTGCGTAGAGATTTCATTTGGAATTTCATTGTAGCTGATGTCACTAGAGCAATTATTGGTGTAGATTTTCTTTCGCATTATAACTTGCTAGTAGATGTTCGTAATAAACGCATTTTAGACGCTACAACAAAATTGTGTACAATTGCTTGTATTGCTTTAGATAACGCTTCTGTACCCAGCGTAAAGGTCGTCACTGGTACTTCAAAATATCATGACTTGCTTTCTAAGTTCCAGGAGATCACAAAACCTTCAGGCAAACCATCTACACCGAAACACAGTACCGTACACCATATCCGAACAACACCAGGTCCTCCTGTATCATGTTCTCCCCGTAGGTTGGCACCAGACAAACTAAAGATAGCCAAATCAGAATTCGAAGCTATGTTGGCAAGTGGTACTGCACGTCCGTCTCAGTCACCCTGGGCGTCCCCGCTACACTTAGCTCCCAAAAAGGACAAAGGTTGGCGTCCATGCGGAGACTACAGGCTTTTGAATGCGAGGACAATTCCAGATAAGTATCCTATTAGACATATTCACGATTTTGCCCACAGTTTATCTGGTTGCACAGTGTTTTCTACAATAGACTTGGTGAAAGCATATAACCAGGTCCCAGTCCACGAAGACGACATTCCGAAGACTGCCATAACAACACCTTTCGGATTGTTCGAATTTCCATTCATGACGTTTGGTTTGCGAAATGCTGGGCAGACTTTCCAGAGATTTGTAGATGAAATGACTCGTGGCCTAGACTTCTGCTTCCCTTACTTAGATGATTATCTAATTTTCTCAAGGTCACACCGGGAGCACGAGGAACACCTTCACCAACTCTTCACCAGGATGAAGGAATACGGAA